GGCTTACAATGCGCTAAGCAATAGCCTTCATTCTTTTGTATATTTTATACAAAGTCAGCTTATTGCTCCCCCAAACTGGGTCCTCAATTTACCTACCTTAGAAAGGATGGAAGGCTGAGTCAACCTTGAGCCTTGGAGAGATTCGAACCAGCAGAAATTGCAGGCAGCTGTGTTAATAACAGGGTGCACTAAACCACTGTACTATCAAGGCTCAAATATTTGCAGGTCAAGGGTTTCCTCCGGGGAGAGGAAACACCAAGCAGATTTGACTTTCTCAGCCAGAAGTTTTCTCAATCATCCAGTCACGCTTGTCCCAAAGGTGTCTTTATTTCAAAGAAGCAGCTGGAGTTTCTGGTTTTTCTTTTGAAAACATTTCGCTTCCCCTCCAAGGAGTGGAAGAAGCTCATCCAGAGCGAAAAGCGCTTTTAGGTTTCTGAGCCAGAGTTTTTATTTAGGGCCAGGTTGGCTTCACGATGCCCTCTGAGTTTGTGTGGCCACACAAAGACTTCAGAAAATCTTTTTACGCAGGTCCTTCCCGACTTGGAATAAAATAGAGAATTCTTTGTTGGCCAAATGTGATTGGACGCACAAAGAATTTGACTGCGGTGCATAAGCTCTCAGTGTACATAAAAAAATATGTTCATCAAGAATCATAAGATACAACACTTAGTGATAGTCATAGGATACTAAATAAGCAATCAAAGTCATACTAGGAAACTAAATAAAAGAATAGAAATTGTAAAGATACAAGCAACAAGGTTATAGTCATAAGTAGAAAAGGAGATAGGTAACAGGAAGGATGAGAAGAATAATAGTAATACAGCCTTAGTAAATAGTTAGACAGTGACGGCATTCGGGAAAAAACTGTGTCTATGTTCTGTCCCGCGTCCTCACACAGACAAAGGCAATATCAAACACGCCTGCCAATAATTTATTGTATAAACAGACCAGAATTCCTGGCAGACGAGAGTTCTGGCAGCTAACTGTAAAACGCCTGCCAAGTTCAATTAGTACTCCCAAAAAGCAGGAGAGGCCTTATCTGCAGTCCGTTTCCAGAGCGACAAATTATCCACAAGAGTTTAATCCAAAATATATCTGAGCCGAAGTGCAGGATTCACAATGTGACTCTTTAGAGTTTAAACTTTTGTCCGTCACAAAGCCTGCCGAGCAATCACGCCCCCCCTTTTATCCCTTGTGGGGCGTGGCTCAGTGACTCAGCTCAATCCCTGGCCCTCCCAGGCCTCTTCGTTTGCTGCGCACGTTTCTCCTTCCGACGCTGCCTGGGATCAAGCCAGGATTCATCATTATCACTCTCTATCAATGGGTGCTCCGAAATGCCTTCCTCCTGGCCCATCCCAGGCTGTTCCTCCTGGCCTTTGGATGGAACCTGAGGCATTGCCAGAGAGGAAGGTCCTGGAGAGGGAGGCCTTGTCAGTTCCTCCCCCTCACCTTCTGAGTCCTCTTCCTCCATGAGGACAGGCTCGGGAGTTGGAGTCACAACAGTCTAGTTGTGTCTAGCACTGGTGTGCAGTGCCCTATAGCATCGTTTTGAGGGTAGGAGTTGAAACAATTTATGTCCAGGATGTGAGGAGTCTGTAGATATTTTCACAGCCCTCTTTTTGACTTTTTGGCAGGTCGACTTCTGACCGTTTTTCACACTTAACGACCGTTGCAGCATCCCCATGGTCACGTGATCAAAATTCAGGCCACTGACTCACATTTATGACGGTTTGCATAGTCATGGTCAGCCATCTCTCAGAGATGCTTGAATTGGCCTCCTTGCCCACTGCAAAGGTGAACAGAATAACAAAGAGTTGGAAGGTACCTCGTAGGTCATCTAGTCCAACCCCCTGCTGAAAAGCAGGAGACCCTACACCATTTCTGACAGATGGCCATCCGGTCTCTTCTTGAAAGCCTCCAGTGATGAAGCTCCCACAACTTCCGAAGGCAACTTCTGTCCCATGGGTTGATTGTCTTCACTGTCAGAATATTTCTCCTTATTTCCAGGTTGAATCTCTCCTTGATCAGTTTCCATCCACTATTCCTTGTCTGGCCTTCAGGTGCTTTGGAAAATAGCTTGACCCCCTTCCTCCTCTCTGTGGCAGCCCCTCCAATATTGGAAGATGCTCTCCTGTCTCCCCTGGTCCTTCTCTTCTCTAGACTAGACATACTAGTCTACTAGAATACCATGCAGAATATGGAATAACAGAATTCGAAAGGACCTTGTAGATCATCTGGTCCAGGGGTCAGCAATATTAAACACTCAAAGAGTCATTTGGACCCGTTTCCCACAGAAAAGAAAACACCGGGAGCCACAAAACTCTTCCTGTGCTTGACTATTTCCTGAGCGGCCACAAAACTAAGATATGTAGTTGAATTAAGCGTTCTGTTTTCTTCAGAAACTTTTCTTGGGTTTATCCATGCTTGACATACCGGGAGTCAAAAAGCTCAATAAATCACGTGCCAGCAGGTGTCGCACATTGGCGGTTGTGACACATATTTTGAGCAACAGGGAGCCGCAGCAGAGGGGTGAAAGAGCCACATGCGGCTCCAGAGCTGCAGGTTGCTGATCCCTGATCTACCGTATTTTCCGGCGTATAAGACGACTTTTTAACACATGAAAATCTTCTCAAAAGTCGGGGGTCGTCTTATACGCCGGGTGTCGTTCTCCTGTAACCAGGCAGACCAGCCCGAAAGGCTCTGACGAGCCTTAAATGGCTCTGGCGATCCAAGCTCTGACGATCTGCTAATCAGGCAACTCCGCTGGGATCGCCAGAGCCATGGAGAAGGAAAAAAGCTTTCCCCCTCCAGCTTGCTTACCTTAGCTGCTAGTTGCAAGCTTGTCTTGCTTCGCTTGCCTGAATCCATTGCATCAGCAAGCAACTCCCTGCCTGCAATCAAGCAGGCAGGGAGTTGTGGACTTCAACTCCCAGAATTCCTCAGCCAGCAAAACAAAGCTGGCTGAGGAATTCTGGGAGTTGAAGTCTACAAGTCTTAAAGTTGCCAAGGTTGGAGACCCCTGTTCTATTGGGTAAGTTTTTTTCCCCTTTGGGAGCTTTAAAAAAAATAGTTAATTGGGGTTGTTTTTAGTTGTTCTTTTTTAGACCTAGCCATTTAAAGTTTAAGAAGTTTTAAATTTAGCTTTCATATAAAAATAAAAATAAAATAATATTTGTGCAGCTTTCTGAGATTCAGTTGTGTTTTTGTAGTGTTTCACTCTAACTACACAAACACACAAAGTCTCACAAAGCTGTATGTGGAATTTTGTGTATGTAAAGTGTGAAAGTTGGGTTTTTAGGCTTTTTGTGGCTGTGTGAGGTTCCTGCTTGTTGCAGGGGCCATTTTGGGTCTAGCACAGCTGCTTTTACATTGTGGGTGAGCCAGTTGATGCTTTTTAATTTTTATTTGGGGTGCGTTGGAAGAGGGGTAGTCTTATACGGCGAGTATAGCCCAAACCCTATATTTTAACAGGAAAAGTCAGGGGTCGTCTTATACGCCCAGTCGTCTTATACGCCGGAAAATATGGTAGTTCAACCCCCTGCTGAAGCAGGAAATCCTATACTATTTCAAACAAGTGGCAGTCCAGTTTCTTCTTGAAAGCCTCCAGCGATGAAGATCCCACAACTTCCATTGTTTCTCACTGCCGGGAAATTTCTCCTTCTTTTCTAGGTTGAATCTCTCCTTGTTCAGTTTCCATCTGTTATTCCTTCTCTGGCCTTCAAAGGTGCTTCGGAAAACAGGTTGACCCCCTCCTCTCTGTGGCAGCCCCTCAAGGATTGGATTGGATCGGATTGGATGCCCCCTGTAGTCCTTTCTGATGCCTCTTCTATTCTCCAAAGCAGCTGAAGGCAGGAGAAGAAACAAGAGAGGCACAGCCTAGAACTAAGGAGGAATTTCCTGACAGTGAGAACAATTAACCAGTGGAACTCCTTGCCTCCGGAAGTTGTGAATGCTCCAACACTGGAGGTTTTTAAGAAGATGTTGGATAACCATTTGTCTGAAGTGGTATAGGGGTTGAGTAGGGGGTTGGACTAGAAGACCTCCAAGGTCCCTTCCAACTCTGTTATTCTGTTAATAATAAGTCATCTCTCACGGATGCTTGAATGGACTGTGTTAAGGATATTGTTGTTGTGTTACCAACCAGCAGAGTGTAGAGCACAGAGAAACGTTGCTGAGAGCAATGAATAAGAGATGTGCAAACTGGTTTATCAAAAGTTTACTTTGTAGTGAAAAAAACAATCTCATAGTCTTTAAATCAATCCAAGTCTTTGCCAGTTAAATCAGTCCAGTGATATAAAATCTTTTTTTTTTTAATTTGATTTATATGCCGCCCTTCTCCGAAGACTCAGGGCGGCTTACAATGCGCTAAGCAATAGCCTTCATCCTTTTGTATATTTATACAAAGTCAGCTTATTGCCCCCACAAACTGGGTCCTCATTTAACCTACCTTAGAAAGGATGGAAGGCTGAGTCAACCTTGAGCCTGGTAAGATTCGAACCTGCAGTAATTGCAGGCAGCTGTGTTAATAACAGGGTGCTTTAAACCACTGTACTACCAAGGCTCCTTACCACACAAACAGCAGTTGGGTAGAATAACAAACTCACTCTGGTTCACAAACCACGACGGTAGCAGATCCATCCAACGATGATAGCATATCATAGCAACTCCTCACACAATGGTAGCATATCATCAAACTGAATACGTTACAGTACCTTACTTAAATACGTTCACAACTAATTACAGCATGACCCAGCATTACAATGAATCAGCAGGAAAACTTTAAAGTCACATAATACATTTTCAGATACAGATATGTGTTACAGTACAGATATATTGATTGCCTGGACAACTTGTTAGGCTCAAACCATATCCTAACAGACTGGAAAGTTGAGTTGAGTGACACCTGCCCTGTAGCCCTTTCTGATTCCACAGTTCTATGAATCTGTGTCACAGAGCAGAAGTCCGCTGTTCCATAAGTGGAATCTTGCAAATCTTCCTATAACAGTCCCAACTGTCGCTCCTAAACTAAATGGAGATGGCTGACTCACAATCCTCCTCCCCCAAATGGACAGAAGGTGTGGTGGACACACCTCATGTCCACAAATGAAGTACCTTAGATTGCGGTTAAGGATGTCACTGGATTCACCTAGATCTCCAGACCGTCTCAAATCTTGAGGCGTTCTCTTGAAGTTCTTCTGCTCCTCACCGGCTTAAGATTGTTCCAAATTCTTTTCTCTACCTGTCCAGGTGAAGTTTGCTCCTGTTTTGGGCATTTCTGATTCGTCTGCAACTTTGGCTTGGGTTCACACAGCTTGCCAAGCTCGATTAATTCGTTCATTAGATTTCCAGTGACTTTTAATTGTTACCTTTAAAGTTCAACATCCTGAGTTTGGCATGCCACTGATATGAAACTGATCCTTGAATGAGAGAGGTGGGGAGGGGAGGAGGGAGGGAGGGACAGAGAGAAAGAGAGAGAGAGTTTAAGTGTCTCTTAAAGGGGATTGAGTAGTTTTATAGGAGGCAGAAACAAATGATATATACATTCGGGACAGGCGATATGTCAGAAAGCAAGAGATCAAATAATGAAAGACATGGATGAGGTGGGAGAATTAAACAACAGAAAACAGTGATTCTAGATTAGATAGATAGATAGAGAGAGAGAGATAGAGAGAGAGAGAGAATGATAGATATAGATGATAGATAGATGATAGATAAATAGCAGATAGATAGATGGATGATAGATAGATGAGATTGATAGATAGCAGATAGATAGATAGCAGATAGATGGATGGATGGATTGATAGATAGCAGATAGATATATGATAGATTGATTGATTGATAGATAGCAGATAAATAAATAGATAGATGATAGATATAGATGATAGATAGATAGCAGATAGAGAGAGAGAGCAGATAGATAGATAGCAGATAGATAGATGGATGGATGGATTGATAGATAGATAGCAGATAGATAGAATAGATTGATAGATTGATTGATTGATTGATTGATAGCAGATAGATAGATGATAGATATAGATGATAGACAGCAGATAGATAGATAGAGAGAGCACATAGATAGATAGCAGATAGATAGATGATAGATAGATAGATTGATTGATAGCAGATAGATAGATAGATGATAGATATAGATGATAGACAGCAGATAGATAGATGGATGGATGGATTGATAGATAGCAGATAGATAGATAGATAGATGATAGATAGATAGATAGATTGATTGATTGATAGCAGATAGATAGATAGATAGATAGATAGATAGATAGATGATAGATATAGATGATAGATAGATAGCAGATAGATAGATAGATGATAGATTGATTGATTGATTGATAGCAGATAGATAGATAGATGATAGATATAGATGATAGATAGATAGCAGATAGAGAGAGAGAGCGCAGATAGATAGATAGCAGATAGATAGATAGATGATAGATTGATTGATTGATAGCAGATAGATAGATAGATAGAGATGATAGATAGAGATGATAGATAGCAGATAGAGAGAGAGAGAGAGCAGATAGATAGCAGCTAGATGGATGGATGGATTGATAGATAGTAGATAGATAGATAGACAGACAGACAGATATATATATATATATATATATACACACACACACACTCTACTATTATATTATTGTTATGCTATTTCTGTTCACAGCTGGGTTTACATAGATAATCCTCCACTTACAACCACAATTGAGCCCAAAATGTTGGCTGCCACACAAACATTATTATTAAGTGAGTTTTGCCCCATTTTACGACCTTCCTGGCCAACCGTTGTTAAGTGAATCACCACAGTTGTTAAGTGAGTCGCACGGTTGTTGAGTGAATCTGGGCTTCCCTGTGGACTTTGCTTGTCAGAAGGTCGCAAACGGGGATCACGTAACCCCCCCGGGACACTGCCACCGCCATAAATGTGAACCAGTTGCCAAACGCCCCAATCGCGTGACCAGGAGAATGCTGCAACAGCCATAAGTGTGGTAGAATGTTATTGTTAAATGAGACGTGGGTTAAGTGAGTTTTGCCCCATTTTATGACCTTTCTTGCTACGGTTGTTAAGTGAAGCGGCTGAATTTTGACCAGGGGGATACTGCAAGGGTCATAAGTGTGAAAAATGGTCATGAGTCACTTTTTTCAGCGCCATTGTAGGTTGGAGCGGTCATTAAATGAAACATTGTAAGACGAAAGCTATCTATATAGGCCCATGCAAATAAGTTTGTGTATATCAGTGTTTCTCAACCTTGGTAGCTTGAAGATGGGTGGACTTCAACTTCCAGAATCCCCCAGCCAGCAGCGCTGGCTGGGGGATTCTGGGAGTTGAAGTCCACCCATCTTCAAGCTTCCAAGGTTGAGAAACACTGGTGTATATAGTCATATGTGTACATGAGTATGTTCATGTGTATGTATGTATATACACATGCAAACATATATAGGTGTGTGTGTATATTCTTATGTGTGCATGGGTGTGTTTGCATGTGAATATAAAAAATTAAAATGAAGACTGGGACTTATTTAAAATGTCAGGAAGTTTCCCATTTGTGTAAACCATGGTTTTGCTTTCTTTTCTTTTGTTAAATCCACGGCAGCCTTCCGGTGCTAGTGGCTATATATATATATATATATATCAAAACCGAAATAAAATAATAAAACAGACATTAAACAAAGGGGAAACTAGCATTTTGGGATAGACCATCCAGGCAGGAAGGCAAGTTTCTCGCTGTTTTAATCCCGCGACACCCTCAGGAGATTTCAGAGAGTCTTGGAAATTAAGGAGAAACTTCCTGACAGTGAGAAGAATTAGCCAGTGGAACAGTTTGCCACCAGAAGTTGTACGGGAGTTTTTTTGAAAAGGGGCAGGACAATGATTTGTCTGAAATGGGGGAGGGGTCTCTTGCTTGAGCAGGGGGTTGGACTAGAACACCTCCAAGGTCCCTTCTAGCCCCCCCCGGGCGGGGAAGCATTGAATTATGGGTGTGGACACACACACGCGCAAACCGCCTGCGCTCCCCCGCTTTTGGCACGTGACGGCAAAACAGTTAGCCATCACTGCCCCAGAACCACATAACCCCTCCACTCACCAGACTGTTTTGTCAGCTGTCCCAGAACCAATTGTTGTGCCACTTCGCTTCTGATTCCTCAATAAATAGAGACCTCCTTTCTAACTGCAGCCTGCCTCCCATTCATTTCTCCTGCATCTTTCTTCCAGCTTGAAATAAAGATTTTAATGGAATTTAATTCCAACCAGGGGGGAAAATATTTACAATATTTATTTTATTTACAGGTTGAAATTGGTGCACAATGAGTTTCTATTTGACGCACGAGGTGCATTTCTCTCCCCATCCGAATCTGGTAAATAAAAAACTTTTTTTAAAAAAAAAAAAAATTGAAGGAAGGAAAATTTTGTTTATTAGTCTCATTGTACAGTGAATAGTTGTTTTCATAAAGCATTGGTCATTCCCAAGAGTGAAGTTCGACCCTGCTCCGAAAATGTTCTTTCCAAAATCTAATTTTGGTTCCATCAGGTGTTTTCCAACATTGGCAACCTTAAAAGGTGAGGACTTCAACTCCCAGCTGGCTGGGGAATTTTGGGACTTGCGGTTCACATGTCTTAAAGTTGCCGAGATGGCTGGGAAGTTATTGGAGTTTTGAGTTCACCTCTCTTCCAGTTCTTAAGAGAGCTGTGGAATTCTGGGACTTGAAGTCCACTGGTCTTCAAATTGTTGCAACAGCTGGGGAATTCTGGGAGTTGAAGTCCATCCATCTCCAAGTTGTTGAATTCAGCTGGGAGTGGAAATTCACCCATCTGCAGGTTTTTGAGATGGCTGTGGAATTCTGGGAGTTGAAGTCCACCCATCTTAAAATTGGTGAGGCAGCTGGAGAATTCTGGGAGTTGAAGTCCAGTACCCATCTTCAAGTTGTTGAGATATTTTGGGAATTCTAGGAGCTGAAGTCCACCACCCATCTTAAAGTGTCTGAGGCAGCTGGAGAATTCTGGGAATTGAAGTTCACCCATCTTTCAAGTGTCCAAGGTCGAGAAACTGGGTTAGATAATGTCTGTCTCAACTCAATCCTTCTTCATGTAGGGTTGAAGTTCCCCCAAATTCCTCCTCAGCTTTTGTGCTTATACAGAGTAAGCGCATGGTGGAGTCCCAATGGCGCTTTTCGAAAGGCATCTGGAATTTCTTAGGTTTTTTTTCTTGAAAACGTTTCGCTTCTCATCCAAGAAACTTCTTCACTTGTGAGGTGCATTGTGAGGTGGCACCACTGTGGGATTCAGCCGGTTCGGGCGAGTTCGGACGAACTGCTTGTTAAATTGCTGGCTGGCCCCTCCCCTCTCCTCCGTGCCCCACCCCTTCCAGGAGTCCCCACGTGCCCGTTTTTGGCTCCCAGGTAAGTGCGGGGAGGTCTACTAGGACCAAAAGGGGGCACGGGGGTGCAACGTTCACCTGATTTACCAGTTGCGTCCCTTTCTGGATCGGGACTCCTTATGCACAGTCACTCACGCCCTCGTCACTTCCCGTCTGGACTATTGTAACGCTCTCTACATGGGGCTCCCCTTGAAGAGCACCCGGAGGCTCCAACTGGTCCAGAATGCGGCCGCATGGGTAATTATGGGAGCGACCCAACGCTCCCATGTAACACCGCTCCTGCGCGAGCTGCATTGGCTCCCGGTGGTCTTCCGGGTCTGATTCAAGGTGTTGGTTGCCACCTTTAAAGCGCTCCATGGCATGGGACCTGGGTATCTACGAGACCGCCTTCTGCCAGCGATAGCCTCCCATCGACCGGTACGCTCCCACAGAGAGGGGCTCCTCTGGGTGCCGTCAGCTAGACAATGCCGGCTGATGACCCCCAGGGGGAGAGCCTTCTCTGTGGGGGCCCCTACCCTCTGGAATGAGCTCCCCCCGGAGATTCGTAGGATTACCGACCTGCGTACCTTTCGCCGTGCCCTAAAAACTATTCCAACAAGCAGGGCTGGCCTAAATAATAATAGTATTTTTACTTTTTTAATGGGTTGTTTTATTAGAATTTTCGGCCAGTTGATTTAATTGTTTTAACTTGTTTTTAATTTTTCTATTGTCATGCTTTTATTTCTGGCTGTACACCGCCCTGAGTCCTTCGGGAGAAGGGCGGTATAGAAATTCAATAAAAATAAAATAAATAAATAAATGCGCCCTCCCCAGTGGCCCATTTTTGCTCCCAGGGGGGTGCAGGAGGCCGAGTGCTGCCTGTCACACTCCCTGGCCACGCCCACCATAGCCACGCCCACCCTCCGGTCATTAGGGCAGAGAACCGGTTGTTAAATTATTTTTATCTTACCACTGGGTGGCACCTCACAATGCCTGGGCCAAAGCCAAGGCAACTGATTGGTTAAGCAATCCAGCCCAGTCTTCAGACAAGAGAGAAAAGAAAGGATCACTGGAGATCACTCACAAGGGAAGAAGATGCCCAGGTTTCTCTCCAAATCAAAGAAATGGGATGTTTATGGAGATTCTCAGTCATCCAGGTCATGGTTGTCCCAAATGCGCTTTTTCAAGAGGCAACTGGACTTTCTGGGCGTTTTTTTTCTTTGGAAGACATTTCGCTTCTCATCCAGGAAGCTTCCTCAGTTCTTTTTTTTTTTAAAGTTTTTTTAAAAATTTTTGAGACAAACAAACATTTAATAATACATCAGGTGTTGTGGCTCCGTTATCTGAGCCTGTGTCATTGGCAGGAGAGGACTCCGAGAGTGAAGGAGAGGAGTTGGGAAGGCCTCCCTCTCCAGTACCCTCCTCTCTGGCAATGCCTTCGGTGTCCGCCCAAGGGCAAGAGATAGGGCCGGGGCCAAGCACGTCCACGCAGCCACAGGTGGACAGTGATGAGGGTAATGAGTCTTGGCTGGATCCACGCCAGCGTCGCAGAGATAAGCGCGTGCAACAGAAGAAAAGGCGTGCCCGAGATTAGGCTGAGTCATTGGACCACACCCCACAGGGTATAAAAGGGAGCGTGGTGGCCAGTCAAACCTTGTGACGAACAAAGCTGAAAGCTTCCATGCCATTCTGCATTGCCAGACTTTTGGCTATAGACTTTGCTGGATTAACTCTGGACTTGATTGACTCCGTAATTATTGAGCTGTTTCTTTTGATGTACCAGGAGTGGGGAGAAGTTATCTCTCCTCTTCATAAATAATAAACTCTTGGCAGGCAGCCACTAGGTTGTTGCCAAGTTCCGTTATCATAAGGAAAAGGATTTTGCCGGCTGGTTTGGTCTTTAACTCTTGAACGTCTGTTGGTGTGTGTGCGTGTGGTTGGGGACAGAACATCAGTCATCCCTTCTCTGTGACATCTCGGTGTTATCTTCCAAAATTCTTCTTCTTCTTCCATAAGTTTCTTCTATCTTGATCTTCATCCAAACCATTATAACAATTCATTGCTAAAACAATATTCTTAGTCATCGAGTTTTTATACATAATTATAAAATTAATCATTGATATCTCTTTTCCAACCAGCGATAAAAGTAATTCCATATCTTAAAGTATTCTAACTCTTCCCTATCCTTAATCATCAAAGTGAATCTATTCATTTCTGCACAATCTAAAAAAAAATAAATTGTACTACTTCTTCTTCCAAAGGTATTTTCTCTGCTTTCCAATTTTGAGCATAAACAATTCTTGCAGCTGTTATTACATGTATAATCAGGTAAATATTTTCCTTACTTATTTTTTCAGGAAGGATACCCAATAGGAACAACTCTGGTTTAAATTCAATACGTAGCTGTATCATTTCTTCCAGACAAGCTTCCTCAGTTCTGACTGGATGGTGGGGAATGGAAGGATTGATATACCTTGTAGACAGCTGGTCATTTGCACTCTTTTTGAGAGTCATTGAGGCCGCTTGGAGGTTTATCTCCGTCCTCAGAGACACCTGAGTAATGAAAGTGGATGTTGTGGGAAGCCCCCTCCCCCAGAGAATGAAATATTTTGGGGGATATTAAAAGAGGCAGAATATTATATTTCCCCAAAAAGGAGAAATGGAGATTTTTTTTAAACAAAGGCAGAAAGCAGCCCCAGTCTTCCTGCCATAGCCTCAAGTAGAAGCCTCAAGTTTTTATAAATTGATATTTTATACCTATTAAAAAAGCCAGCCTATCCTATTCATAAAACATGTTGAACCACAGCTCCCACAGAAGGCTGAAGATGATGGGATTAAGAATTTACACACACACACACCCCAAATTCCAAGGACAGGACACGACCTTTAGGACATAATCGGATTTATTCACCACCATTAGAATAGCAAAAGACACAAGGCTCACTAAATTATAAACCCCCCCTGGAGCATCTCAACCACCAAACCCCAGAACCCTCTAAAAATCCATCCACTCATTCCGTTATTTTGTCAGCCACTCCAGAAACATGTTGCTGTCACTGAAGTTTCTGGAAAACCCAATAAACGGAGGGCTCCTTTTTATTTCCAGCGTATTTTTTTGGAACCCGACTGGATTTTTCTTCTTACGGTATGGAAGCTCCTTGGAACCTTTTTAAGGACTTTGTTGTAGACTGGAGAGAGACGATGTTGCCTGCTTAACAAACGTCTTCAAAGGAAAATAAGAAAGTCCAGTTGCCTCGTGAAAAAGCTCTTTTGGGACAAGGAAATGGGGTAATGCGTTTTAAGGACTGGATTAAGGAATGGGGTAGAATCAGAGCAGGATTGAAATGGAAATGTGGGGAGAGAATATAGGATAACCACCAAAGGTGGGATTCAAAAATTTTAGCAACTGGTTCTCTGCTTAGTTGCTGGGTGGGCGTGGCTATGATGGGCATGGCCTCCTCGGCCTCCTGCACTATGGCGGCGACGGCGGGGAGTGTGAAAACAGCCTCCCCTGGGCTCTGGAGGCCCTCTGGAGGCCGGAAACGGGCCCGTTTCCAGACTTCCAGAACTTCCGGGAGGCCCATTTTTCACCCTCCCAGAACCTCCAGGTGGGCCCTGTGCTTACCTGGCATCCAAAACAGGCCACGTGGAGACTCCTGGAAGGGGCGGAGTGGTCGGAGCCAGCCAGTCCTTGCAACTACCGGTTCGATGAACCAGATGTAAAATTAGCATCCAATTCACCCGAACCGGCTGAATCCCACCTCTGATAAGCACTCTTGTTGACCTTTCAGGAAAGGGGATAAAGGATCCAGCTTTTTCATGTCACCCCACTTTGCTTGCAACCGCGTTCTCCAACCCAGAGACTTCTGCGGACACAAAATGGAGTGGCCATTTTGGAAGATCACCAGTAGTCCTCGACTTACAGCGGCTCATTTAGTGACCGTCTGCAGAGGAAAGTGTTTTAAATAAAATAAAAATATTAGAAGGTGCTGAGATGGATAGATTTAACACTTAAAAGAAAAGGAAGAAATAGAATACTTTTTATTTATTTATTTATTTAATTTTTTTATACCGCCCTTCTCCTGAAGGACTCAGGGCGGTGCACAGCCGAAAATAAAAACGAACACATATAAAATTTAAAACAGTTTAAAAGGAATTAAATAATTTTTAACATGGGACTTGTTTTTACCGATGGCTAACTAACAGAAAAAACTGAGGTTAGAAACTAAAAAAGATTAAGAGAATAATTGATTATACCCTGAAAATTGTTTAGTATGGATAAGCTAATCATACTATTACAATGTGATTATTACTGATATGTGCTGTGATTACTATTATGATTTTTGTTTTTTCTATTCAAAATTAATTGTTCCCAGACAACATGTCGTTCAGATAGATATTGAGTTTTTTTTACGTTCATTAAGAAAAATGTACTAATAAAACATTTTTAAAACAGGGCCCTAAGAAAAGGGACTTACGACCGTTTTTTTCACACTTACGACGGCTTCTCCATTGACTTGGCTTGTCAAAAGCTGGCACTTGGACACGGCGACCGTCATAATTTTGATCACATGACCCACGGGAATGCTGTTACGGTCGTGTGGGGAAAACGGTCATAAGTCAGTTTTTGCAGTGCTGTTGTAACTTCCAACGGTCACTAAATGAACTGTTGTAAGCCGAGAACTACTTGTAGGGGGTCTGTCATGGGAGAGTCAAACCGGGCACCACGAACGGGGGGATCCAAGCCTCGCCCCCTTCAGGCCTAAAGGGGGCGGACTTTAGTCCTCCTGCCATAGGTGCCATTTTGACTTTTTTGACCTCGAACGCTTCTTCCCTTCCTCCCAGCGACCTCAAATCCTAATTTTGGAGACCTTCGAACAGCTGCCTTTCCTTCTCACCAGCTTTTCCCGTCTCTTCGCAGACGCAGTATTTTATCCCTCCGACTGACGCGGAATTCCAAGAGCGCTTGGAACATCACCGGAGAGAAATTGCCGTCATGTTGAGATCTTCGGAATTCAACCAGGACAAGACAGCCCTGATCGTCACCAACAACCCTTTCCCTCTGCTCGTTTCTGGCCAGCACCTCGCCACCCCCTTCCAGTACTTCCCCAAGGATTTGTCCAGGAGGGTAAGGGGACTCGGCCCTTTCACCCGACAGGTGAAAATAGATGGAAGGATGGATGGAAGGGGAAGGATTGAAGGGAAGGGAAGGGAAGGAAACAAAAGGAAACAAAAGGAAACGAAAGGAAAGGAAAGGAAGAAGGAAGGGAAAAGGGAAGAAGGAAAGGAAGAAGGAAGGGAAGGAGAGGAAAGGAAAGGAAAGGAAAGGAAAGGAAAGGAAAGGAAAGAAAAGAAGGAAAGGAAGAAGGAATAAAAAAGGGAAGAAGGAAAGGAAGGGAAGGAAAGGAGGAAGGAAGGAAAAAGGGAAGGAAAGGAAGAAGGAATAAAAAAGGGAAAAAGGAAAGGGAGGGAAGGGAAAGGAAAGGAATGAAGGGAAAGTTAGGTAGGTAGGTAGGAAGTAAGTAAGGAAGGAAGGAAGGAACGGAGGAAGGAAGGAAAAGGGAAGAGGGAAGGGAAGGGAAGGAAAGGAGGAAAGAAGGAAAAAGGGAAGAAGGAAAGGAAAGGAAAGGAAAGGAAAGGAAGAAGGAATAAAAAAGGGAAGAAGGAAAGGGAGGGAAGGAAAGAAAAGGAGGAAGTAAGGAAAAAGGGAAGAAGGAAAGGAAAGGAAAGGAAGAAGGAATAAAAAAGGGAAGAAGGAAAGGGAGGGAAGGAAAGGAAAGGAGGAAGGAAGGAAAAAGGGAAGAAGGAAAGGAAGGGAAGGGAAAGGAAAGGAATGAAGGGAAAGGTAGGTAGGAAGGAAGGAAGGAAGGAAGGAAAAGAATAGAAAGGAGGGGGAAGTTAAGTAGGCAGGCAGGAAGGAAGGAAGTTAGGGGAAGTTAGGTGGGTAGGTAGGTACACAGGCAGGAAATAAGTAAATTAATTAGTTAGGGGAAGCTAGAAAGGAAGTTAGGAACGAAGGAAGGAAGGATGGAAAAGAACAGAAAGGAGGAAGGAAGGGGAAGTTAGGTAGGCAGGCAGGCAGGAAGGAAGTAAGTTAGGGAAGTTAGGCAAGTAGGAAGGAAGGAAAGGAATAGAAAGAGGAAGGAAGGGGAAGTTAGGTAGGCAGTAAGTAAGTAAGTAAGGAACGGAGGAAGGAAGGAAAAAGGGAAGAGAGAAGGGAAGGAAAGGAAAGGAAGAAGGAAGGAAAAAGGGAAGAAGGAAAGGAAGGGAAGGAAAGGAAAGGAATGAAGGAAAGTTAGGTAGGTAGGAAGGAAGGAATGGAAGGAAGGAAGGAAGGAAGGAAGGAAGGAAAAGAATAGAAAGGAGGGGGAAGTTAAGTAGGCAGGCAGGCAGGCAGGAAGTAAGTTAATTAGTTAGGGGAAGCTAGAAAGGAAGTTAGGAACGAAGGAAGGAAGGATGGAAAAGAACAGAAAGAGGAAGGAAGGAGAAGTTAGGCAGGCAGGCAGGCAGGCAGGAAGTTAGGGGAAGTTAGGCAAGTAGGAAGGAAGGAAGGAAGGAAGGGAATAGAAAGAGGAAGGAAGGGGAAGTTAGGTAGGCAGGCAGGCAGGAAGTAAGTGAGTAAGGAATGGAGGAAGGAAGGAAAAAGGGAAGAAGGAAAGGATGGGAAGGGAAAAGAAAGGAATGAAGGGAAAGTTAGGTAGGTAGGAAGGAAGGAATGGAAGAAAGGAAGGAAGGAAGGAAGGAAAAGAATAGAAAGGAGGGGGAAGTTAAGTAGGCAGGCAGGCAGGCAGGAAGGAAGGAAGTTAGGGGAAGTTAGGTAGTTAGGTAGGTATGCAGGCAGGAAGTAACTAAGTTAATTAGTTAGGGGAAGCTAGAAAGGAAGTTAGGAATGAAGGAAGGAAGGATGGAAAGGAATAGAAAGAGGAAGGAAGGGGAAGTTAGGTAGGCAGAAAGTAAGGAAGGAAGGAACGGAGGAAGGAAGGAAAAAGGGAAGAGGAAGGGAAGGAAAGGAAGAAGGAAGGAAAAGGGAAGAAGGAAAGGAAGGGAAGGGAAAGGAAGGAATGAAGGGAAAATTAGATAGGAAGGAAGGAATGGAAGGAAGGAAGGAAGGAAGGAAGGAAGGAAGGAAGGAAGGAAAAGAAAGAAAAGGAAGGGAAGTTAAGTAGGCAGGCAGGCAGGCAGAAGTAAGTAAGTTAGTTAGGGGAAGCTAGAAAGGAAGTTAGGAACAAAGGAAGGAAGGATGGAAAAGAACAGAAAGAGGAAGGAAGGGGAAGTTAGGTAGGTAGGCAGGCAGGAAGTAAGTAAGTAAGTTAGGGAAAGTTAGGAAGGAAGGAAGGAAGGAAGGGGAAGTTAGGTAGGTAAGTGGGAAGGAAGGAAAAGAATGGAAAGGAAGGAAGGGAAGGGAGGGTGGGAGAGGAAGGAAAAGAAGGGAAATAAAGAACAGAAGGAAAGAAGGAAGGAAAAGAAGGAAGGGAGGGAGAGAGAGAAGTGAGGGAGAGAGAAAGAAAGAAAAGAAAGAAAAGAAAAGAAAAGAAAAGAAAAGAAAGAAAGAAAGAAAGAAAGAAAGAAAGAAAGAAAGAAAGGAAAGATGTCCCCTCCCGTTTAATAGGAGGGAATCCAGAGAGTGGCTGTATCCCTTGGGGATTGGTTCAACCACACATTTACAGAATAACAGCTGGAAGGGACCCTAGAGGTCATCTAGTCCAACCCCGTTTTAATCCTAAACTTGGATGAACAAAAATCAGTTTGGTGGAAAGGAAGTTAGGAACGAAGGAAGGAAGGATGGAAAAGAACAGAAAGAGGAAGGAAGGGGAAGTTAGGTAGGCAGGCAGGCAGGCAGGCAGGAAGGAAGTTAGGGGAAGTTAGGCAAGTAGGAAGGAAGGAAAGCAATAGAGAGAGGAAGGAAGGGGAAGTTAGGTAGGTAGGCAGGCAGGAAGTAAGTAAGTTAGGGGAAGTTAGGAAGGAAGGAAGGGGAAGTTAGGTAGGTAAGTAGGAAGGAAGGAAAAGAATGGAAAGGAAGGAAGGGGGGAAGGGAGGGTGGGAGAGGAAGGAAAAGAAGGGAAATAAAGAACAGAAGGAAAGAAGGAAGGAAAAGAAGGAAGGGAGGGAGGGAGAGGAGCGAGGGAAAGAGAAAGAAAGAAAAAGAAAGAAAAGAAAAGAAAAGAAAAGAAAAGAAAAAGAAAGAAAGAAAGAAAGAAAGAAAGAAAGAAAGAAAGAAAGAAAGAAAGAAAGATGTCCCCTCCCATTTAATAGGAGGGAATCCAGAGAGTGGCTGTATCCCTTTTGGGATTGGTTCAACCACACACTTACAGAATAACAGCTGGAAGGGACCCTAGAGGTCATCTAGTCCAACCCCCTGTTTTAATCCTAAACTTGGATGAACAAAAATCAGTTTGGTGGCTTACATAGCCTGCTGCACAGAATGGTAAGAGAAGGATTAGCGTTGTGTGTGTGTCTGTGTGTGAATATTGCACAGCCTGGAAAGATACAGGTAGTCCTCAATTTATGACTGGCCGCTTTAGTGACCATTCGAAGTTATGACAGACCTACTTAAGTCGTTATGACAGAGCTCCTTAAGGCTCATATTCAAAGTTCCAACCGCCACCCTCCCGGTCCCATGATTCCATGTTGGGTCCCCGACCACAAGTCCACATTTATGGCCATCCCATGCACACGTGACCACAATTAATTAACTTTTTTTCATCTGTTTCTGCTCAAATACTGCCCATCGTGGACACTGGATTCACTTAACGACTGCCACCGAAAAGACTGTAAAACTGGGCACCGCCATATGGCGACCCACTTAAGAACTAACCACAATTTATGACCATAATTGTGCCTTCTGCCGTGCCCTTAAAACCTTCCTTTTCCAGCAAGCCGGGCTGGCCTAATTTTTTAAGTGTTTTTAAGTGTTTTGTTTATTGTTTTTAATTAATGGGGCCAAATTTATATATATATATTTTAACTGTATTTTAATATTTGTACTTGATGTTTTTACTTGGCTGTTCACCGCCCTGAGTCCTCAGGGAGAAGGGCGGTATACAAATTCAAAATAAAATAAATAAAATAAAAAATAAATAATTCTGGGCTCAATAATGGTCATAAGTAGAGGATTGCCTGTATCCAATGTAAACCCCCCCCTCACTTCGCGAGGGCACTGACTCTCTTCCTTTCCTACCCAGCCTTTCCCGCAGAGCTTCCGGAATCAAACCCCCCGCTGTTTACCCCCAGTGGGGGTCTCATCCAAAGTGCCCCCCGGGATGGAAATCAAAAAGCTGAAAATCCCCACTCAATTAAGGTACCAAATCCTACAGGCTGTGCATTGTGGTTTTTTCTTTTCTTTTCTTTTCTTTTTTAAATTTGTAATTTTATTATAATACATATATGACATTTACATAACATACAACATATAAATATCTTATCGTTTTTAAGCATCGTTTCATCATGGGCTTCCTTCTGTTATTTTGTCTTTTTCCCCCTATGTCTTCATTTCATTCCTCTCTTCCCCCCCCCCCCCCATTGTCCTTTTTTTTCCTCCTTCCCGCCTGTAAAGATCTATATATACTTATATCTTTAATATTATACATTTCTACATTCTTGTTATATACATTTTTATTTCACTCCATACATTTGTTATATATATATTTTATAGTCATATAGTCAGGTTTCGATGTCATCTCAAATAAAATAAATTGCATTTCCAAGCAAATAGTCTTTGAAGAAATCTTTCATTTTATTAAGCACGACAACCTGTCCCCGATTGTGGTGTAGCCAATACTGACTTCCTGACCCCAAACCTTCCCTTTCCGTTCCCCAATTCTCTGCGTCTCATTGGCCCTCTTCCAAATCACTCTCCCCATATCTACTACTTCAGCTCCCAGGAATGTCCCCCCTCCCATCTCATCTCCTAGGGGACATTATCTTCAGGGAAAATAAGTAGGTGAGAAGTCAAGCGTCCTCTTGCCAGCTGCCCCCTCTTCTCCTTCTTACATCAGCACTACAGTAAATGCAGGTTGAAGTGCTGACACTCTTCTCTTCTCGCCTAATAATCTTTATTCTTTATTTCTAGTCTTAAGCCATTTATACCATTTATTCCATGTTCTATAATAGTCTGTCTCTTCTTTTTCTTTAATTTCTTTTGTTAATCTGTCCATTTCAGCACATTCTAAAATTTTATCTGGTTTTTCTTTTCTATTAAAGCAAGTTAAGAGATCATCATCCTCTTTTAACGATCCCATAATCCCTTACGGAGTGGAGTCTGGGCAACTGAATGGAGCTAGCAGAGTGTTTTCATGGCCAGATGCCCTTCCTGTCACCAGTGCGGAGTTTTGTTCAGCAGATATATTCTCATTGCGCCCAGAGAGAGAGAACTATCTGCCTCTACTTAGGATCAAACTCACAACCGCCTGATTGTGAGGTGAGAGCTCCATCTCTAGGCCACCCCACCACTCATTAAAGCAATTTAAGAGATGTCGGGCCCCAAATCAAGACTGACATGTGGTCATACTTCTGAGCTGACCCCTGATAGGTAGTCCTCGCCTTACAACGGTTCATTTAGTGACCATTTGAAGTTACAATGGTTCATTTAGTGACCATTTGAAGTTACGATGGTTCATTTAGTGACGGTTTGAAGTTACAACGGCCCTGAAAAAAAGCGACTTATGACCCTGTTTCACACTTAGGACCGTTGCAGCATCCCCGGGGTCACGTGATGAAAATTCAGAAGCTTGGCAACTGACTCGTATTTATGACGGTTGTAGCATCCCGGGGGTCACGTGATCCCCTTTGGTGACGTTAATTTTTCCTTTCTCTTTTCGATCGCCACATTGTTATTCCTAAGAAGTCGATGCTTCATGTCCACAAATGCGTTTATTTCTGGACTGAAATCCTAGATATGGAGATGATATTATTATTATTATTATTATTATTATTATTATTATTATTATTATTATTATTATTTAATCTTTGGTGAGATTCACAGCCTTTGAGGCTGGTTAATAGCTCAGCAGCTCAAGTCCTAACCAAGGACCTAGGAACTGTTAAGGTATCGTCGGAGGATGTAAGCTGTTCCGAGTAAGGTGGTTTTTTGGAGAGTCAAAATGTTCAAGTCCGGCAAATTTAGAATTTCTAAATAGCGGGGTAGCCCTTTGGGTATTGCTCCAAGGGCTCCAATTACAATCGGGACAACACACGATTTCTTTTTCCACAGTCGCTCAACTTCAATTTGTAAGTCCCGGTACTTTGTGATTTTTTCTTGCTGCTTATCTTCAATCTGTGCATCACCAGGTATTGCAATGTCAATGAACCATACTTTTTTCTTTTCAACTATTGTTATGTCAGGTGTGTTGTGGACCAAGTGCCTGTCAGTCTGAATCCTAAAGTCCCACAAGATCTTGAGTTTCTCATTCTCTAAAACTTTCTCAACCTGATGTTCCCAGTGGTTTTTGCTGTACTCAAATCCAAACTTCTGGCACAATTTCCACTGAATGATTTTAGCAACACGGTCATGGCATTGTAGGTAGTCAGTTTGTGAAATTTTGCTGCACCCACTGATCAGGTGGTCGACTGTCTCTTCTTTCTCATTGCAGAGGCGGCATTTGCTGTTGGTGGTAACATGTTGAATTTTTGCCTTCATGCAGTTTGTGGCTAGGGCTTGTTCTTGAGCTGCCAAAATAAAGCTTTCAGTTTCTTTTTTCAGTACTCCTGATCTTAACCAGTTCCAAGTTAGTTTCTGGTCAGCTTTGCCTTCAATACTTTTCAAGTATTGGCCATGCAGAGCTTTGCTTTTCCAATTTTCAGCTCGCTGCTCAATTACTATATTACTCAATTACTATACTACTACTACTACTACTACTACTACTACTACTACTATTATTATTATTATTATTATTATTATTATTATTATTATTATCATCATCATCTCTTTTGTTCATTAAACATGAAAGTCAGTCAACTAAACATTTAAAAATGTGCCACAAATACCATTGATTGGTGCTAGTGGTTGATATGGGTTGCTGCCAGCATCCTAGGTATCAACCAAGTATCTTATTAAAATATATGATGTTCTGAGTAGCACAGTTTTTTGCAGTTCCGCTGATGTTATTGCAGGAAGCTGCAATTTCTTGATGTGTTTTGTATAATAATAATAATAATAATAATAATAATAATAATAATAATAATAATGATGATGATGATGATGATGATGATGATGATGATGATGATGATGCAAAAATGGAAAACATTCTAACAGCAAATGGGGAGAACATTGGTGAACATCAGACGAGGAATCTTCCAGGGAGACTCACTTTCACCACTACTGTTCAACATCGCATTAATTCCACTGACAATAATCCTACAAAACACAAAACTGGGATACCAAATCTCAAGCCAACATGGCAAGATAAACCATCTACTATACATGGATGACTTAAAAATGTATGTGAAAAGCCCCACTGAACTTAAATCAATACTCGACACAGTTCAACTGTTCAGCAGCGACATCAAAATGAACTTTGGACTTGAAAAATGTGCTATGTTATCCATGCAGCAAGGAAAAATGGGAAAAAATAGAAGGAATAGAACTGGGAAATGGAAACATAGCAAAAGCATTAGCAAAGGATGATGGTTACAAATACCTAGGCATATTGGAAGCAGATAACATCTTGAATGGAAAAGTCAAAGAGTCAATGCAAAAGGAATACATCAGGAGGGTCCGCAAAATATTAAATATTTTAAATTTGTTCAGCCAAATTATTTAATTCGTTTTAGTTTATTTTAAATTTTGTATTTATATGTTTTATTCTATGGCTGTTCACCGCCCTGAGTCCTTCGGGAGTAGGGTGGTATACAAATTCAGTAAAATAAAATAAATAAATAAAATAAAATAAAAGCTGAATGCTGGAAACATAATTAGAGGCATTAAATACATGGGCAGTTCCAGTGATACGCTAGTCAGCTGGAATCGTCAACTGGACTTTGTCTGAATTGGAAAACTTGGACCGGAAAACGCAAACTTTTAAACATGTACCATGCTTTACATCCACGAAGTGACATCAACAGGTTGTATCTGCCAAGAAAAATAGAGAGCAGAGGACTATTGCAAATCCATCAAACTGTAGAAGAAGAAAAATGAAGTTTGAATGATTATGTGAATCAAAGTACAGAAAAATTGCTGCAGGCTGTGAAAACAGAGAACATTATAAAATCAACAGAAACAAAGGCAGAATATAAGGAAAAACAGCTGGATGGCAGATTAAACAGATGGAAAACCGAAGCTTTGCATGGACAGCAGTTGAAAAACATTGAAGGAAAATGTGATGACATCTTGACATGGGCATGGCTTAAGATGGGAACCATCAAGAAAGAAACGGAAGGTTTAATATTGGCTGCTCAAGAACAAGCACTACAAACTAATGCCATGAAAGCGAAGAAATACAAAAATCCACCGACAATCCAAACTGCCGACTTTGCAACAACAAAGTTTCACATTTAATATGTGAATGCAGCAAAATCGCACAAACTGATTACAAAGCTAGACACGACCGAGTTGCTCAATTAATCCACTGGTCATTATGTAAAACATACGACTTTCCTGTATCCAAAAAGTCATGGGAACATAAAGTGGGAAAAGGTATAGAAAATGAGAAGGTTGTGGAATCTTGTGGGACTTTTGAATACAGATGGATCGTCACTTGGAACACAACACGCCAGATATCACAGTTGTCGAAAACCGAAACGTACAATTTATTGACATCGCGGTACCAGGAGACGCCAGAGTCGAAGAAAAAGAACTGGAAAAAATCACGAAATATCGTGACCTGGTCATCGAAACTACACAGCTATGGATGAAACAGTGATACCCATTGTCATCGGGGCACTTGGTACCATGTCCAAGAATTTTATAAAATACATCAACAAATTGCAGCTTCCTGCAATAACACCAGCAGAACTGCAAAAAACTGCACTACCTGGAACATCGTACATCTTAAGAAGGTACTTGGTTGATACCTAGGACGCTGGCAGCAACCCGTATCAACCATTAGCACCAGTCAATAATATTTGTGATGCATTTTTGAATGTTCAGTTGACTGAGTTTCATGTTTAATGAATAATAATAATAATAATAATAATAATAATAATAATAATAATAATATATTTGGTTGATATCTAGGATGCTGACAGCAACCCGTATCAACCATTAGCACCAGTCAATGGTATTTGTGATGCATTTTTGAATGTTCAGTTGACTGAGTTTCACATTTAATTAATAATAATAATAATAATAATAATAATAATAATAATATATTTGGTTGATACCTAGGATGCTGGCAGCAACCCGTATCGACCATTAGCACCAGTCAATGGTATTTGTGATGCATTTTTAAATGATCAGTTGACTGACTTTCATCTTTAATGAATAATAATAATCATAATTTTAAATCCTTTTTAGCAAATCTTTCGTTAGCCACCTGAATAATTGGGATTTCTAAACGTGCAAAAGGAGATTGCTGCGTTCTCGACAAACATATCTTGTCTTTTCAGCAGGTTCACCAGCAAGAAGGATTTCAAAGGCGACGCCCGTTTTTCCAAAAATTACGCCGAGAAGCGTTTACAAAGGTTGTACCCTCAGCTACATCTTCATTCCAGACTAGGTAAGATTAACAGATTAACAGAGTTGGAAGGGACCTTGTAGGTCATCTAGTCCAGCAGTCACCAACTGGTGGTCCGCGAAAAAATTGTGGTGGTCCACAGAAAAATTATTTGCATTTTGTATATTGCGCTAAATCAGCGGTCCTCAAAGTACGGCCCCTGGGCTGAATACGTGCAATGAACGTTTGTGTTGCTGCAGAGAGTCTCCCCCTTCGGGGTCTTTTTGTGTGGGTCGGAGGGGGGCAGAAATTCCGACTTGGGGTCTGCTTCGGCCTCCTGGTGGGGGGCTTTGGGCGAAGGCTGGAGGGAAGAGCCGCTGGTGGCAAAGAGCCGGAGGGCCTCGTTCCAGTGGGACAGCATCATGGCCTGGAACTGGCTGACCATCTCAGCCCGCTGAGCCTCCAGGTGCCGGTACCTGGCCTTGCACTTCTACAGGTCTTCCCTCTGCTTGGAAAGCCTATGCTTCTAGTCCTCAGTGAGGTGCTTCTGCTGCGCCTTCTTCTCAGCCAGATCCAATATGAACTGAGCTCTTTTGCCAACTCTTTCTCGCGGTGGCTGCTTAGCTCCAACAACTGCCTCCTGTTGGGGCCCTAAGGAGCCCGGGCGGGGAGGCAAGGAGTGGCGAGTAGAGGCTGGCAAGGCGCACCTCGATGTGAGTGACATCGAGTTGGCCACGCCCGCCCAGTCACATGACCACCTTGCCACGCCCACCCCGCCATTCATTAGGCAGATCATATTAGTGATCCGCGGGATTTAAAAATTATGAATTTTAGCGGTTCCTGGGGTCCGAAAGGTTGGGGACCCCTGATCTAGTCCAACCCCTTCCCCCAGCCCAAGAGGAGACCCTACACCATTTCTGACAGAGGGCAGTTTAGTCTCTTCTTTAAAGCTTCTAGTGATGAAGCTCCCAAAACTTCTGAAGTCAACTTCTGTTCCGTTGCTTGATTCTTCTCACTGTCAGAAAGTTTCTCCTTATTTTCAGGTTGAATCTCTCCTTGATCAGTTTCCAACCATTATTCCTTGTCTGGAGTATAGCTTGCTTGACCCCTTCCTCTCTGTGGCAGCCCCTGAGATATTGGAAGACTGCTATCTTGTGCCCCCTCGTCCTTCTTTTCATCAAACTAGACATACCCAATTCCTGCAACCGTTCTTCATATGTTTTAGCCTCCAGTCCCCTAATCGTCTTGGTTGCTCTTCTCTGCACTCTTTCTAGAGCAGTGATTCTCAACCTTAAAGACTTTTAAATGAATGGACTTCAATTCCCAGAATTCCCCTGTAAACATAGCTGGCTGGGGAGCTTGAAGTCCGTCCATCTTAAATTGGCAGAGGTTGAGAAACATTGTTCTAGAGAGCGATGGCTACCCTTTTTGCCATCGCGTGCCAGGAAGGGGAGGGGGAGGGGAGGTTTGCGTGCATGTGTGCCCACACCCATAATTCTATGCACCTCGCCCCGCGCATGCAACCCTCCCCCTTCCTCCTGCTCCTAGCACATGATGGCCCGGTAGGCCCGTTTTTCTTTCTCACCTGGTTCCAGTTCCTCTCTATGCATCTGGGGAGGGCAAAAACAGCCTTCCCCACCCCCTCAGCCCGTTTCCTAACTTCTGGTTGGACAGGAAGTGACTTTTTTGCTGTCCCCAGCCTCCAGAGACTCCGATGCATGCACACCGGAGCTGAGCTGGTGTGCCAGGCGACATGGTTCCACGTGCCGCCTGTGGCACGCGTGCCATAGGTTCGCCATCACGGTTCTAGAGTCTCAACGTCTTTTTTATAGTGTGGTGAGCAAAGCTTGATGCAGGATTTTAGGTGTGGTCTTACTAGGGCTTTATAGAGTGGTAGTAGTACCTCCCTTGATTTTGATTGTATCCCTCTGTTAATGAAATTTAGGATTGCATTGGTTTTTTGGCTGCCGCTGCACACTGCTAGCTCATATTTAACTGGTTGTCCACTAAGACTCCAAGATCCCTCTCCCAATCACTGCTATTAAGCCTGGTTTCACCCAGTTTAAGTCGTAAGTCGAGGACTACCTGCAAACAGAGCTAGCATAGTCACTTTCCCGTTTTTCTTTGCAGATGACTTGAAAAATCAACCCCTTCCGAGGATTCAGGGATGGTCTGCAGCGAAGATTCAGTGGGAGCCCCTGACCCTTTCCTGCCTGACGGAAATGAAACCCACCTTCATTGTCCCGGGAGAAGACGGGTTTAGACACGGGAAAGCCCCTCTCTGGATTGTAAATAACTCAGTAGTATTAAATTCCTCCTAGTAAAATCTTAGCTGACTGACTGCAATCTGCAGGGTGGGTTTCTCTGTGATGTGGAGACTTCGGTTCCTACCAAAGATATTGATGGTTGGTGGTCTCATAGGACAGGGGTGTGGGGAACAGTGGCCCTTTAACAACCTGTGGACTTCAACTCCCAGAATTCTTCAGCCAGCCTCTTTGGCTCAGGAATTCTGGGAGTTGAAGTCCACAAGGTTATAAAGGGGCCACGGGCTCCCCACCTCTGTAGGAGAAGATCTTGACCAATGAGCACGACCAATGAGGGAAGGGGGATGCTGGGAAAAAGTTATTCATGCTCCAGATTTTGATTCTGTTCTGGTGGAGTTTGCTTGAACTTTGCTGGCAGTTTAACCGCCAAGTAGAGAAATTGTCCTGCATTTGCAACTAGAGATAATGTTTTTTCTGTGTGGTCCTTCGTGATCTCCGAGCTTGGTGGCAGATGTTTCATGACCCAACTAGGTAATATCATCAGTGCTGAGGGGAGGGGAGTTTGTGGAGGGGAGGAGGAGGAGGGGAGGAAGGAGGAGGAGGAGGAGGAGGACGACGACGACGACTATGGCGTCCTTGGTGGTCTCTGAGTTTGGTGACTTTCTTGGAGATGTTTCATGACCCAACTAGGTAATATCATCAGTGCTAAAGGGAGTGGGGTTTGTGGAGGGGAGGAGGAGGAGGAGGAGGAGGAGGAGGAGGAGGAGGAGGAGAACTATGGCATCCTTGGTGGTCTCTGAGATGTTTTATGACCCAACTAGGTAATATCATCAGTGCTAGAAGGGAGTGGGGTTTAGGGAGTTGGGTTTGTGGAGGGGAGAAGAAGGAGAGGAGAGGAGGAGGAGAACTATGGAGTCCTTGGTGGTCTCTGAGCTTGGTGACTTTCTTGCGGACGTTTCATGACCCAACTAGGGAATATCATCAGTGCTAGAAGGGAGTGGCATTTGCCCTCAGTTTATATTCCAAGCAATGGGTTGCCCTGTTAGGGTTGGCTGGAGTAGCCTTGGTGGTTCCTGGATTAGGTTGTTATTTACCAACAATCAAGCAGGACACGTTACCTCAACCAAGGAACTACAACTCAGAAAAAAGGATCAGACAGGAGACTGATTCTACTTAGGCATGAAAACTGTCTGGGTTCCTTTGGGCCAATCACCAGGCAGAACACTGAGTGGGTGACTTTCGGCGAATCAATGGGAGACGGTGAGTTCTAGTCCCGCCTTAGATTTGAAGGCCAGCTGGGTGACGTCTGAATTTTAATCATGTGACCATGGGAACGCCGCAACGGTCGTAAATGTGAAAAACTCATAAGTCACTTTTTCCAATGCTTTTATAACTTTGAGCCGTCGCTAAATGAACTGTTGTAAGTCGAGGGCTACCTGTACATTGACAAACAACCCCCCGGAAGACATACCGTCCTAAGACACAGATTGCAAAATCGACTTTATTAGGTGCTTAAAACGGAAGGAACAAACCCACGTTCCTACTAAGCCAGGATGTACAACGTTGGCTGGTTTAAGCCTGCATTGTCAGGTTAGGCTGAAGAGACCAGGATCGTCTGGTACAGAAGCCAAACCGTCATAAAAACGAAAGGTGGTTTTCTTCTA